TTTGTTGATAGAACTATACATATAATTATTATTACCAACATTATAGAAATAATAATCATAAATAACATGAATTATAGTTACAAATACCAAATACCAATTTTTCTCTCGATGCAACCAAACGCGGATACCATAAATACGGTTAATAACGCCGTTAATCAATTTTGCAATTGAATCGCGTGGCGCCGAAGGGCTGCAAATTCAATCCGTCGAATTTTCGACACAAATTCGATTCAAAAAACTTCATCCATTAATACGGATTTTCCCGAATGATTACACATTTGATTTATGTAAATGATAACGTGGTTACAATTTTCGGAAATTTCGCAAAACGCGTGCATATTTTTCTCATTTTTGGAAAAAGAAGCGACTCATTTTTCGTTACCTTTACACTGATTGTGAGAGAAAAGTGTTTCATATTTATTATACTATAATTGAATGGTAAAATAATTATGATTAGGAATTCGATTTTTATAGTCATTATAATGACAATAAAAATAATTGTATTTATGGTTCTTTATAAAATAATTTAATTGATACCGAAAATGATCATAAATTATAAAATTATAATTATTAGTACCAACTACATATTTTGTATCGATTATTATTACTAACATATAGTAATAATAATTATAAAAATGAAGCTCCTAGCCATAATTATTTTGCCGTGCAATTATAGTCATGTAGATACAAAACATTTTTCTCTCAGTGAAACTGCTCTTGGGCGAAAGATCGCTTATCACAAAATAATTGCGACAAATAAATTCCAGCAATATCGCGATCGAACTATTACGGTTAAATTATCGGCAGAGAAAAAAAACAGATAAATCGACAATGCGACGACAGCTTCTTTATGAAACGTGTAAGAGAGATGGACGAGATAACTCCTTCGCGAAGCTCCCGGGACAGCCATCGAGCTTTTCACGCTCGACTGACGCGTCCCTAGATTTCATCTTCCCTCCCCAAAGATCCTAAAGTACTTCCATCATACTTTCTTACTATTTCTCTTGTCCGTCCCGTTCTTCACGCGTCTTCCTCTCGACCACGAAACATCGCTACAACCTTTTCAGAAATGTCGCTCCGTCCTGTTCTTCCTTTTCTATTCTTCGGACCCTCCCTGATGGTTCCTCCACTCTACAGGGTGCCTCCACTCTACAGGACCGCCTCGTCGGCGGTCTGTTTATCTGTTCCAAGATAATTCAGATCGCCCTCCCCCGCGTTGGTATACAGGACGAGCCACTTCGTCAGAATTTAATGCACCGTAAAACGAGGCTTTTCCCTCCCTCTCGCTCTCTATCTTCGTGTCTCCCTGCACTTCCAAAGTCGCGACTGAATCCGCTTTATCATTACCACTGCAGTTGCAAGCGCGCGCTCGTGATTTTGCAAGCTCTCGTTGCCGAAGAAATCCGCTCGCGGGATGTAGCCGAGATAAGTAAAGCCGACGAAAGCCTCGACCTCCCCGATAGAAGTCGCGTTCGCCCGTCCTGTGATGGGAATTCTATGAACTCGATGTATCACCATACGATTCCATCGGTAATTTTTAATTTATTGTTATATATAGAAATCTTCGCTGAGAAAAAAGATTCATTTCAAAACGTCCCAAATATCTATTTTTGAACGCGATTGTAAAAATATATTACGTAAGAGAAAAAATAAAAACGTGAGGAAAAAATAGGAATGTATAATCATAATTTGTGCCCTCTGAAACTTTTAGAATGAATTTCACTGTGAAGAGCGAAATTTCACTCTCTTGAAGATTGAAAATTGAGCCACTCTCTTTCGAGACTGGTTCAATTTTTACTTAAAGAAATTTCTAAAAGTTTTAGAGAGAACAAATTATGATTACAGATTGCTATTTTTTCTTACGTCTTTATTTATTTTTTTTTCTTTAAAGTGAAATTCCACTCTAAAGAATTTAGAGAGTATTTATGGGATATACATTAATATATTTGGGACATCCTGTACTGTGTTATTGAGTTACGTATCTAAATACGAAAAACGAGACTGAAATTTTTAAACTAGGGGCACTAATTAAATTGCATGATACACAGATCCTAATGGAGGAAACGGAAAAATATTTGCTCTTGGTACGTTTACATATGCGTAGGTGCGAATTCATACGTTTGGATGAATACATATGAAAACTCGCAATTTGCTTCGGGCGCTCATGTATGACGAATCGCGTGCTACTTTGTTTTGTAAATTGGCAGGCAGATACTAAAATAACGAAAAAAAAAACAGGGGGCGGAAGGAAAGAAAGGATGAAATGGAAGAATAGCGCCTGGCGATAGAAATTCGAGGCAATCTATTCGGTAATTGAAGCTTCCATTATTTTTCCGGCAGAGAGAAAGAGAGAGAGAACTGCGTATAACTAACTCTCTTCGTCGATTCTCTTGTTTTCTACGTTCCTCTGCGTTTCGTAATACCGTTGTACATGATATATATTTTTTTAGGTCAATGTTTTTGAAACTGTGCTGCGGAAAATTCAGCACCTTTCTGAAAGAAAAATGAACAATAAACGTCCTGCGACACAACGATTTAAATTGGAAAATCCTGTAATCTCTCGGTGAGTTGTGAATCTCATAAAATGATTCCAAAAACAACACTAAGCTAGGCGTTTTCAATTTCCACGACAAATATTTTTATTTTGTGATGAATAATATTTTCAACGTAATTCTTATACATACATTACATTTCGCGTATTTTTCATTGTTACGATACCACGCTATCCGATCATCAGGGGGTGTTTTTCTCTCGTTTAATAAATTAGTTCACTTGATCAGTAAAAGTATGATTCTTCATGCTTTTACGGTGCATTAACTTGTCAATTATTATTATTAAAGTAGAACTAATTCACGTGCTAATTACGTGTATAGTATATAATACTATTTTGGTTTTAACACATATCGTTAACGCATTAGACACATACATAATATTCTATTAATTTAATATATCTACAAATATATAAATAGTGATTGTGTTAAACTATATTCAAACTACCTTTGCTATAATACACGGTTTGTGCTGCAGTGCCTACATTGGGGATGCAAACATGTAAATTAGATTAAATATAAAGAGATATTGGACATAAGGTTAATTAATAATGCATTCCTAAATAAAATACGTAAATATACATATCAGTATGTAATATGCAGAATAAATAAAAATATACGATGTACATCCGTTGTGGCATCTAAACTTCATTGTAATATCGTCTATTAATAATTCTCTTAAGCGCACTGTTAAGATCGTTTTTAATACGATGCAAAATTAGCCCTCGCATGTTCGGTACCGAGATTGAGCTACGTTTTAGAGGACGGGAGGCAAGATTTCTGGATTGCAGCCTGCGTTTAACTGCAAGAACGATTCCGGGAGCCCGAGCTACAAAACAGCGGCTAATCGGGGGTAAGCTTGAAAAAAGTCACGGTACCTAAGCGTGCCATTATATCGAGTAACATGCGGCCCTCGCGCGCGTTACAAGCTTGCATGCGCTTAATCACTGCACCGCGATCACGGCGAGATCGGCACGCACGCCGATAAAACGGGGGTGGGCTGGACGCCTCGCGAAAAATATACCTCGCTCGCTAGATATTTCGGACGTTATCGTGGATCGTAAGAGTTAGGGCATCAGATGCAATAAATACGGGGCGAGGAATTAGATTTGTGGAATTAGGAACGAGGACTTAGTTTCAATACGTAGGAAAAACATGTTTCAGTCCGCGATAAATAAGTTAGTTTCAACACTGAAAAAAATTTATTAAATCTTAATATATATTTCTTTGAATAGTAGACATTTACTTGCATAAATAAATATTTATTCAATAAAAAAATGATAGTTAAAAATCACATTAATGGTTTTTATATTAAATAAATATATGTATATTTACGTTTTAGTAAAAGTTTACTTAGAAGTGTTTCAAATATTTATTAAAATTTAGTATTTTTTTTCAATGTACATATAATATGGTTTATAATGTAGTGTCTATAACAAAGTTCAATTAATGGATAGTTTTTTAAACTATGGGCTATCAAAAGTGATCTATGAATACTATAGTTTTACACCTTAGATACATCATAGCTCAAAAATTATAATACATGATTGAGCTTTTGTTTATCTTTTATTTATCACATTATAAGATATATTATACGTGAAAACTAATTTATTTCATCAGGACCTAATTTTCCATGTAATTCCGGGATCCTTTACTCCCTTATTGTAAATCGCTTGACGCTTAAATATAAAACCTTCCGATGTTAATTTTATTTTAACGACAAATTTTTACATTAATTCTGAATTTCTTTACGGTTGATAAGCTTTTAATTATTAAAATATTTAATTCTAAATATCAAGAAGATGTAACAATGCCAATTTCATAAATATTTAACATTGGATATTAGCGAAGTGGAACAGCATCTTGAAATGTCTTCTACAAGAAAAGATAAGCTCTACCAAAACTATACCTAGCAGCTTTAAAACATCTCGAATAATAATACAACTCGCAAATCTCAAAAGCAAGGACGGGATTTATGCATGCAGGTGTAATAACATCCGTCAATTGTTTATTTCCTCGACGGTTTGACATTGGGAGAAATTGGAGGCTTCGTGATAAAGTTCGCGTTACTTCTACGTACGCATCTATTCAGGACAACAATTAATTCAGTATCGTCACGTGAGCTACGGCATCGCCGGAATTGTCCTGCCATCCAATTTCTAGAATCGTGCGTCGCGCGTTGCAATGTAATCGAGCCACCCACAGTGCGCGTGTAAGAGAGGGAGAGGAAGAGGGGGAGAGAGAGAGAGAGAGAGAGAGAGAGAGAGAAGTACAATGTATATTGTGCAAATATATATGTACTCCATGGACGACACTCATGCAGCACGAACGGCGAATATATACAGCGTCGCGAGGGGATGTAAAATAGGGGGTGGCGGAACGAAGGGACGAGGTAACGGCGAGCAAACGAGAAACGGAGAAATGCGATTAAGCGACAGTAGTCGGCGGTACATTGCGCGTTTCGATCTCGACGATTGCCAAGCACGGCATCCCAACGTCAACGTTGCCAATGTTGCCTCTAGAGTCGTCCATCCTATGCAAATTTCATTCCCGAAGTCAGCACTGTGCGGTCATCTCACGAGACGCTCGGTACTCGATCGCGTCGTAAGTGGGAACGATCGTCGAGAAAGTTTCGCAACTATTATTGCCGAACAAGCTGATTCGAGCTGCAATTTAAAGAGAGTTTAAACATTCGAAGAGGAATTTCACGATTCTTCTCGATTTCGTTATTTGTATTGTATATTCCACTTTATTTGCATCCGTAAATATTCGCAATACATTTTTCTTAAGGACTGATCAATTTAGCGCGTAGAGAATCGAGAGTCGAAGTCCCGTGCGGATACTCTCAGATTTGAAGCTACAGGCGTCGTCATATATTGTCGTATACATACAACGAACAGGGAGTCAAGTAAGATAGACGTGCAGTTTCTCATCTCGCCATCGCCGTCCCACTTTCGTTCGCATTTCCTCGCACAGAGACACAATAATTTTCTTAGCAGTCGCGTAAACGACAGGATAAGTGGGTTAAGCCTCTAAAGCGATGACATAGCGGCAATAAGATCGGTCGACGTGCGGAGGAAGTGTACGATATTTATATAACATAATATATTTGTGGTGTGCATTATATATAGATATGTATATGTATATATGTACAAATAATACCTAGGCGAACGCCACTTCGCGTTAAGATGTCGCCACCCCGAGCCGGGACTGCCGTACTGCAACAGATACCCGAAACATTGTCATCATATGCGTTTAGCAACCATGAGAAAAAAAAAAAGAAAAAGTATCTCTATCGTTCCGAGATGCATGCCGGTAAAGAGTACGCAAGAAAACAGACACGAACGTGTCGCTCGACCTGCGTCGCATCCGAGAGGTGCAAATCTTTTAATTTTTTTTTAATGATTTCTGGTCTCTACACTTTAAAAAATATAAGTGTATATTTAACATCATAGTTAATTCTCACGGTGTTGATATAAACATCAGTATCGCGAGGATTTAACACAATGAATTTCAAACCATGAATTTTTAATCCTCGGCTACAGCAAGGGACGTTTCGACCCAAAGCGAAAATTTTAGACAATTGATATAATCTGTACGATTAGTATTGAGATTCTAAATTGTAAGTTTTGAACGTTTCTGTATCAATCACCGTAAGGCGAAAGTTTATTTTCATTTTGTACTTCAAATAGAATGTTTTAGAATACATGAAGTAGCTTTTATAACTATTCTCTAAATTCTTTGGAGTGGAATCTCACTCTAAAGAATAAAAATTAGGCTACACTAAAAAAAGAAGTGTTTAATTTTAAGATATTAAAATGTTTTATTCTTGACTCCATTTTTTAAACCCTTAAAGATGTTTTAGTTTTAATAAACACTATGCGTTTTAAATCCAAACACATAGTGTCTTGTCTATTGAAAAAGTTTAAAACTAAAACATCTTTAAGAGTTTAAAAAATGGGGACAAGAATAAAACACATTTCTTTTTACAGTGTAGTCTTGAAAAAAATGGCTCAACTTTCAATCTTTAAGAGTGAAATTTCACTCTTCACAGTGAGATTCACTCTAAAAATTTAGAGAATACAATCGTTAAGGATTAAATCCACATCCATGGTGTGAAATTCACAGTTGGTGTTTCTATCAACACCAACACAATGAAAATAAACATCAGCGTTAAATCTATAATTATATTTTTTAAAGTGTATAATTGATAATATATGTCCGAAGAAAAAACTTCTATCTGCTGCAGATTTATGCAATTTCCTCTCAATATCTTCTTTTTATTTTTACCGAAACTATTGCTACGTTAAATTTCTTATCGCGGACTTATCTTCGTGTGTCACTTTTCCGAAAAGAAGACTCGATACGACAATCGTAAAACTGATCACCGGACAATTCTCAAAGTTGATCGGCGAATAGCGACATGTGATGACGCGCGGATCGATTGCTCGTTGCCGAGCAAAAGCCACATTACTTGATTGAAGGGACGTACTATTCGAAACGCGCAATCATAATCCGCGCCGTAAAATAGTAATCCCGCCGCATGACAGGAATAATAGGACGGAAACGTGAAACACTCTCGCGGATCACCGAGCGCGCGTCGCTTTTTAATTGTCTCTCGCACGTTCGACCTCGCCAAATTGTTTCGAGTAAAATGACGGATTCTATCGCTGGCACCGCAATTTCCTTTTTTACGTCGCTCTCGATTAAAAGACACGCCGATTTTATCAGTTTTCACTGTTATCAAATTAGAAACTCGACTCGAAAATGTGTAAGCTTTTCTTCAAGGCTATATACGTATATCTTATGAGAGAGAAGTTTTATTCTTGGTTCATCACGAGTAAATTGGCGTCTACAATGAGATTTTAAGGCGTAAAATTTAAGCTTTGAGTCTTAAACTGTAAGAAATTGATCAATCATAATCGATTGTTCTCCTCACATTCGACTGTAATTGGCCAATTTCTTAAGGTTTAAAATTTAAAGCTTAAGTTTTACGCTTTAAAATCCCATTGACACCGCTTAAAGTAAACACACGATCCTTTATGCGACATGCTTTAATTTAGCGCACATAACACTTGCAATTATAGGGTAAGAGTACAAGATAGACAAAGTCTCAATCAACTATTGTGCTGTTCAGGGAAAGTTCTTGGCAATACGTATAACTGCGTACATGAATACGATACAACTTCAATTACTTTCCATAAACAATACAACAGTTAAGCCAGTCACATATGAAATGCATAACGGAGCATAAGCACAACATGAGACTGCTGGACCAATGAGCATCCAGCATAATGTCGTCATATTGATTTACATAAGATGCTCATTGGTTCAGCGGCCTTATGCTATGGTTATGCTCTGTTATGCATTTCATGTGCGACAGGCTTTAGCCGATACTTCGTCTATCGTGTAGTATTCTTGTCTTTAACGATGATGATAATTGGGTGCGAAGTAATCACACGTCTTTCTTCTATTTTTTTTTTTGTGCACCTCTCACTTATCGCATTTCGGTCGAGCGACGTGGCATGCCTCGAGATGCATGCAATTATGCACTAATCTCGCGAGCTGCTCTTGCACATCGACGTTAAGAGCCCTCACCTGACGTGCAATCATGTCCCGCAGGGAAAAATCGCGCGGCAGAAAATTTTCGGAATTTATCCCTTTGTCCGCCGGATCATTTTCGTGGCCTGGTAATCTGCCAATTCGTAAATTATTCTCGCGTGTCTAACAGCATCGGGCGGAAATTTAAAAGCACCTCGTAATTTATCGACGGTGAGGATGTAAGCGTGCTCATCCCGATTGCGTTCCATTAAATTTTTTGCTCAGCGTGCCTTTACAGGCGGGACAACAAAGGACTCCTGGCATCTAAAGATTTAATATGCATTTGCGAACGTAACAGCGACGAACTCGCGCGGAAATGCAAAGAGCAGCTCGATAACGAGTCGTAAATTTTATGACTTCGGGTTAGTAGGGAAAAAAAGTCTCTTGTGAAACTGGCAAAGATATACACAACGCGGCGCAGCATTGTTGTTAATCATCACACAGATGCGAGAATCATTAATCCAATTACACACAAGTTCTCATCAGATTTCATTCCCAGAGGAACATTTTTAATCTACACAGCGATAGAGAAAAATCGCAGGTGAAAAACTGGCGGTTTAGACGCTGCGAGAAAAGATCTTTCAGAGAAACATTACAAAATAAAGCTCTTACACGAAAAAAAAGAACAATTCTGCTGAAGTATCTAAAAATTTAACTAGATACAGATCTGAAAATAAATTTTTTGGATTATCAAAATATCTTCATTATATAATATGATGAATAATATTATTACATCGTAAAAAATTTTAACAATCAACAACCAGTTTGAGCTCCAGTTTTTTTATTTACTGATTAATTTGTGGTTTAACTTCACATAATAATGCAAAAATTGGGTCTTTTTTAATTATAATCAGTTAGTAAATTGATGATTTTATTAATAATTTTGAAAGTTATTACAAAATAAAAGTGACTAAAAAACCATCAGTTTAATCATAGTTGACTGACCATAGTTAGAAAAACACAATTTTTACATTATTATATTAAGTTTAATCACAAATTAACCAGAAAATGAAAGATTAAGCTATATGTCCTACATAATATTTTTGTAGTCCAACAAAATTATTTTTCTGATCTGTATTTAGCTAAATTTTAGATATTTCAGCAAAATCGTATTTCCACTGTCAACGTTAAAATTTTGTTCGTAAAGCAAGGCACAAATCGCGCAAATATGATACGAATATAATCTGAATATCCGCGGACGTTCTTTCACTGCAAATTTCTAAATGGTCGATAAGCGAGCGAATGGTTTAAATCGAAAATTATTGTAATTGTTCCGCGCAGTTAAATCCTCTCCGATAATCTGCACTGGGCGATTGGAAAGTTATTCGATTCTAGCGTGAAACAAAAGCGATATTGATAATGATACCAAACAAATGTACAACGTTCTTCTTTTTTTCCGCATGAATTTGTAAAACGGTAAAGCAACGTAAAGCGATTACTACCTTAATTAAAAGCCCGTAAAACCCATAAACCTCAGCGTGTAATAGCCGCTCAGTTATTTACAGTTTATTCTAGTTTCGGACGCGATCTCTAAAGGTGCGATTTACGAGCGAGATCTTTCCGTCACCGTATAAATCCCGTGCATAACGTAACCCGTTCCCATCGACAATTAACATTTCACGGTACGTGGGAGTACCGTGCGGAATATTATTTTAAAAGACCGCGTAATCCGCGAATAAATATTAGCAATTTTGCGCCGGGTGTGCGAACATTCGCGGGCTCATTAACGCGGTTCGCGTCGTTAATCCCCGATGAAAGAGTGGATTGTTCTCTCTCGCAGTCCCTACGATTTGCATTTTAAAAATAACGCCGCCGTACACTACGCGTCGTTTTGTCATCGTTATGACACCCGGCGCCGATCTGCATTAGCACCTCATAAAATCTCGTGCGAAATAAAACCCGATAGTACGCACGCAACTCAAACTCGCACAGAACTGATAAAATTCTAAAGTCAGACTCAATTAATGAAAGAAAAGAATCCGTCGAGAGAACTTAAAAGTAAAACTCCGACGATTCCACGAATTAATGATAATTTTAAACACGAATAAAAGAAAAATATTGAAAAACTGATTAAACTGCATACAATTTTTTTAATTACAAAAATTAAAAAATGTCAAAAAGTTTGCCGATATGTTTTCACAAAGCTACCCAACGCTAGCTTTTTTTCACGTGTAGATACTAATTATTTCGAAAGGAAAGAAAAAGAGGATTATTCATCCTTTTTACAGGAAAGGCTCGATTAGACTCGTTAGTCGGCGTCTCTGAAGGATAAGCGTGTATAATTGAACGGTACTCGAGCCAAAAAAGATCCCCGTGAATAGCTCGGACGCGATTCACTCGGTATAAGACGTCAGTCAGCTTCGGTTGCGCCAACGTCGGCGTGTGTTAAACTGTCTTCCAGCTGACGGGTTAATGCCGACAGGACGTCACGCGAGGCGAATAAAGCTCCTAGGAACCCCGGCTCCCGTGGAAATTAACGCGTCACGACTTCATCGAGTTTGATAGGATGCGTCTAAACCTCATTGCATCGCTTGTCGAGGCAGGTGCAGCTAGTAATAATGATGCTGCGCGTGAATCAAACCGCACGATGCACGAAAAGTCACGCAATCTACGTCGCAATTCGATAATCGAAAGTTAACATCTGATTCAACATTATTCGGCAACGATTACGGAGAAAAATGTAAAATAATATGTGCTACATGGAGAAAAATGTTTGGTTGAATTAACTGGGATTCTAGTGGAAAATGAACGCTTCAGAATTCTGGTTAAATCTATTAGATTTTGGTTAAATCCGCTAGAATTTTAGATGAGATAACCAATATTCAGAATTTCCTTGGGTAAGAATTCTAGTAGATTTAACCAGAAATCTAGGAAACTTAACCAGAATTCTTGATCGTTCGTTTTCCAGCAGAATTCCAATTAATCTAATCAAATATTTTTCTCCATGTACAATTTTAGTAAATTTTATGGAATTGGCAAATTCATCTAGGAACAGACGCGTATTTATGTAAAATTTACTTTACTTTTCTGATAAATGAGCGTTGCGTAGAGCTATGCTGTAAGGTACCTTTTACATTTCGTAAAGTAAATCTATAAATTACAATACATTTCAATAAAATTTATTTTATCGATGAGTATTTTTTGCTTTAACGTTGACAAAAATTTACTTTACTGCGCGTAAAAAAATACAAGTGGATAAAGTCTTGAAAGTTGTTTGCGTTTATCAGTGTGTTTATCTTGAGAATAATATAATTTACTATCTGTAAGATAATAATCACTTGGACGGATCTGCTATAATCGTAGTGCACTTTTTACTTTACCCTTTCGATATTTTTACTTTCAGGCAAGTAAAGTTCGTCATAAGTTCGGCAAAAATAGCCAGAATATTTTTATTATATAGCCTTGTAAGATAAAAATTACTCAACCATTTTTCTCCATGCGGAATACGATTTATTATATTGATTTTACTTTGCTTCCGAGAGAATAAGACTGCTATTTGCTATTTGCATTTATATCCGCGATCGCGTGACTTCCGAAAATAAGACGTCGAGATCGAATCCGACGAATCCGTCTCCAAGAATGTATAAAACGGAATGACGTGAATGCAAACTATACATCGCTCCGTTCGTGCTTTGTTCCTCGAACGATCCGACGAGTATTCCGTCCGCGACCGTGTTTGAGCGATTGTATGCTTTTCTCGCGGCGCGACTTGTCTAAAAAGCTGTGTTAGTGAAGCTGCGAAAATAGTTGGCGTTGGTTAAACCTTCCCCGTGAGGAGAAAGGATGCGGCTCATTCTGCTGACGGTCTACCACACAGCGGGTAGCTACCTTTCATTGAATCAAGGCAGGTTTCCTGTGGTTCATGTTAAAGAATCGGAACTGTAGCCGCAGCGTTAGATCTTTCCGTACTGTTGGGAAAGAATAGGTGTCGTGAGTATTAAAACATATATCGCCAGCTTGGATTCGTAGAGTCACGCAAATCACTGAAAGAAAAAGTCTGGCAATAGCATCAAACGTTGAGTGAATTAATGCTAATCAAATCTTCGGTTAATATAACCAAAATAATTTTACTTTCCTAATTATTTAGTAAGTATTACCAAATATAATAATATAATCAACCGTTTGATAATACCTATTAAATATTTAAGACAGTAAAAGTATTTTTGGTTATATTAATCGAACATTATTTTACTCAATATTGATAGCTATTACCAGACTTTCTTCAGTACGGATAGCAAACGTTTGCGATAAAAAAGATTTCGGCCGGCACTCGACCGGCAAGATATGAGGCCTGTTCTTTTTAGTTGAATTTCTTACACAGTTCATCTCTCCTCCTTTCCTCTGTGTGTTGGAGAAAAAAAAGAAAAAAGACGAAGTGTGCAAAAAGTTCAGATAAACAGAACGTCAATTATCTATAATTAATTTTAAACAATACTGACAATCAAAAGAACGTCTCAACCGTAGAAATTTTCTAAAAATGAAAAATACACGTCATTTGAAATAACATGAGAATCGACATGAGCTTTTCATTTCAATCTCGCAAGTCGAGTAGACCACGCAACATGATATCGACACCGTTTGCAATAAAAGGGACGCGAACGCGTCGTGACACGCCTGAACACCTACATATACATCAAATAAATAAAGGGGACTGGCGTATATGACATATAGAACAGGGGGAACTGGCAGCCCATCGATTCTGTCTATGCAAAATGCAATCTCGTCAAGGTACGCCGGGTTCGAATAATAAAACCTAGATCCTCATCATCCACGTGTCGTATGTATTGTGATAGTATATTGAAGTGTTAAAAGTAAAAAAAAGTCCAACTTAAAAAGAAAGTTGAACGAGAAAGGCGGAGAGCAAAGGGAAATGATGCCGACAATGCAAAATGAAATCGTGCGGGTCGGATTTACGCGAGGGATGCAATGTTAGTTATGTGTATTCAGTCGTTGAATCGCGTTATCCTATTTCAGGGAATGTAGGGAATAAATCGTTGCATTCGCTTAGTGATTAAACTTGGAAAGTAATTATTGTTACGCGTGACACTTTTTTCACAAAAGTTTTAGATCATAATGCACATAAAACGCAAAACTGCAAACAATTCTTGTTTCTAATGTTCATTTGAGTGATAAGAATCGGTAAGATTCAGGATTGTAATGATAACTAAGAACTCGTCAAACTGATGCATTTCTTTGCACTCATTAAAAAAATATATATATGTATATAAAAAATGATACTTTATATTTCTCTCTATTGGAGAATCGAGATTTCTCGGGAGATAATATTCCACAAGATTTCTTAAGATTATATTAAAACGACAAATTTTTCAATGTGTTAACTGATTATGGAATAGAGAAGTTTCTCGAATTTCCAGAAATTCTCCATCTTGTAGCCAATTAACACACTTGAAAAATGTGTTGTACGACGAATAAAATATTAGCTTTAGAGTGCAAAGAAAAGTCAATCGAAATATTAGAAATAAGTTATCACAAGTTACGGGGAAAGACGAGCTCATTTTTTACAAGAAAGCTACTCACTGCGCTGCAACAGCGCTACGCTCTATTTTTTAAGTCATCTGCGGGAAGAACGGTGAAAGTTGCAGAACCACCAGCGATCGCTACAAGCTTAGCTCGTTCCATAGGTTCCACACGACAAACTAGCCAGATAAACGAATTGATTAAAATCAATGATAATCTAAAATCGTTCGCTCAAATTGCGGGGAACTGAATTTTTGAGACTCGACAGAACAACGCAGAATAAAATAGGGATTTCATAACTCTTATAATTTCTGTAATTATGAAGGATTTCGGAGTTTGTGATAAAAATGTACGAGAGCGTATGCATCTCTGCGAACACTGAGAAAAAATACAATTGACCTAAAACATGACTATAAATCATAGTTGAAATATAGTAATTGTAACCATTTTATGGTAATAATAATTATAATTTATAATCAGTTTCGATGCCAATTATATATACATTTGTTGATAGGACTATACATATAGTTATTATTACTAACATTATAGTAGTAATAACTATATTATAATTATGGAGCAGTAATTACAATCAAACCAAAAACTTTTCTCTCAGTGAAATAATTTTTGTAATGACGTATGCCATAAAGGAAAAGAAAGGAAAAATATGGTTCTGATTATAATTTAGACGAGAATTTAGATAATTAGACTGCAATTTCGTTCGAAAGTTAAATTGATTTAATGTCCGTTTCTACCAATATAATTTAATTTTAAACTTAGCTCAATTAACTTTTCATCTTTTTCTAGTTCTAAGAATTAGAAAAGTATGAAGAGTAACTGAGTTGAACTGAGATTAAAGTTTAATCTATATTGATAGAAACGAGCATTAATGCGATAAGATAATGCGGACACCGTTTGTTAATGTGCTTAGGAATACTATACTTGGCAATAAGCGAGAACGTGGTAAATTATCAGCACAACTTAAGCGTATCAATTGCGAAAGCATACATACTTCGTCTTGTTAAATAAACAAGAGCATGAAACGGCTGTGCCATTTAACATCGATTAAGCGTAAGTCCGATGATTAGTCGAGTTACAAGCCGTTTGATTAAAGATTTAAAGAAAATTGGTCAATATAAATTCGTACCAAATTAAACTACCCTAATCTTCGCTTCTCTGTGCTTCACTGAAAATTGAAAAACAAGCAGATCATCATCTGGTGCACCGCTTAACACATCTTTTGTTATTTGTATCTTTAATAAAAGCGCGGAGGGACGAGGTATAAATTAAATAGAGAGTAATAAAGAAAAAACAGATATAGTAAAGACATAACAAAGGGATTCAAAACATGACGTGAGAGGTAGCTATATTATTCGAGGAGAGAAACAGCGTTTTTCAAATAAAATGAACATTTTTAAGGCATTTTTCAAATAAAATGAACATTTTTAAGGCATAGTCATTTTGTATATAGCTTCATAAATCTTTCACATATTTTAAATAATTTTAAACTAAGGATTTGAAAAACACTGTGTGGAAATTAGAAAATTCCATACTTGAACGGGAACAAGCTGGGGAATCTCATAATTACCTCTATATGTCACTAACTAGAAAAATAATAAATGAATATAGCGGGATGAATGGATGAATGATGAAATGTACTATAGTAAAGCGCTACGTGAGACTACGAAGCAGATTCGGAAAGGTTAGAAGCATTTCGTCACGTGGTCTCCATAGTCCCCCATACAATTGCTCCCATCTAAATGAAAAATTAATAGTACAATTATCATCATGATAGAAACAATGGTATCTACGTAATGCATTCGTGAAACGCTTCATTGCGCTGCTAACGTAATTTATGACACCTGTTCGATTGCGCGCTGACCCGTGAATGGAGCGTCGCACTTGACGTCAAAGTGTAGAACAATTATTTCAACCTTCTAAGACATACATATAGCTATTTCCGTAATGATATCCCTATCAAAATGTTTCTATCTTAATTCACTAAAATATCATTAGAAGCGATTGTTTACGTTGCAATTGGCTACGCAAGTACGTGAATTAATACTAATTATCTTCTATCAATGTCAATTACTTCTAAAACACTTTTTCATTCCTAAAAGTGATACTTTTTTTCTGTATAGGCTACTCGAGCTATAATAAATATTATTAGTCATATCGACATCGCGATACTCTTTTATACTTACTCCTATCGATGTTGCGTTGCAGATGCGCAGCTACGCGATGTCTAGCATCATTGAACTCCAGATGCAACCCGAGTCGCAACAACGTCGGGTTTTGTTCTACCAATTGTGTGATTTCCATCTCAATTTTGTTACCCAATACTTGTGACCTCTGAAAAATGATGTGAATATCTCGTTAGATCTCATTGTTGCTATTCTTGCATAAAATATTCATGCACCTAAGTTTATATGACGACCTACCTGATTCGAACATCGGAATTCTTCGATTGATTTTGTTTTAAGAAGGGATCTGATCAGCCTTACTATCACAGGCGGGCTTATGAAATTTGTTTCCACGCTGAAGAACAAAAATATTTTTTTACATTAAAGCAATGAGAAATTATCACCATGCGAATTTTGTGCATAAAAATATATTATTTTTTGCGTACTTGAGTACTCTGAGTGTCGAATTCTTCTCTACGGCATCGGCTAGCCGTTGCGCGGTCTTGTCATTGAGTCCAACGTTGGTTAAACTTAGCGATTCGAGATGTGTATTCATTTCCAAACCTTCGAACAACTGCATGAATTTTTCGTCCGAAATATTCTGTAACAAGACCAGCGTTAATTTAGCATGAAACATCGTTCTCTTCTTACAATAGAGTATAATCGACGATACTTACTTTAATATTATTCCAATTTAAATCAGTTAAAGAGGAATCATCGTCTCGCACTTGTTTAATGGTAGCGTCAACATCTGTGTCATTAGGCGGTTCCATCGGATAAATTTTCGGTTGACTAGCCTTTGTCACACCGTCCCAACCGAGCCCGACTGGCTGCCCAGAATTCAGTAGAGATGCGTGATACTGATCTTGATTCATCATAGAATGGAATCCAAGAATAGCTGGATGGAAAAGATATAGTCTCAATTATTTATCTTTCTATTCTGATACAAGGGGCTTTCAGAAAAGATCAATCTTCTTACCAGCAAGATCAATGATTTCTTCTTGTGTGGCGGCCGAAAGCGCTTGTTCATACTCTTCACCAAGATCTATCGCAATCTGCTCGTCTGCCTCCTTTTCCTTCGTGTTGTCTTGTGGCGGAGGTATCCACTAAAACAAACAATATAATATGATGCATATATAAATCAATATATATATATATGTGTGTGTGTGTGTAAAATTTATTTTACTAGTATCATTCAATTAGATTGACTTCAGCTCTTTCATGTTTCTTTTCCAACTGTAACCTCAAATTTAGGCTTTCTGCAAGACTAGTGTTACTTAACTGTCATCTATATACTTTGCTGTGTTGATAGAAAAATAACATAAGTAAAAAATTAGCATTTTTTAGATAATAAAAAGAAATCAACTCTAAAGATTAATATATTTTTGTAGAAAAGACACATTTGTAGCTCATTTGCTTATATAGGACAGTATAACTCTAATAAAGAGTGAAACTGACATTACACTAAAGTTGCAATGTCCGAATTTGAAAAACTCATGACATAATTTTAAAGAATACATTCTAATTAAAACGTTTCCATTTAGAATTTCAAAAATGTTCTACCGAAAAGTTGCTAATTTTGAGATGTGTCATTTTTCTGCCAACGCAACGATTTGTAGAATATTACGATACTCACTTTCTTGCCCCTAATTACACCAGGTACATATGGCTTCAGTTCTGGAATATCAGGTGTCTCTAAAGCTTGTTTGTTGATATGCTCGATGAGCTTCTTGCGATTTAATGGCCCTGTAGGGCTCTTGTTGCATTCATAACTGCAACGTTGCGAAGGCGGCATAAAACTATCCTGTATAAATGTAACATAAATTCAGTATCTCAAAGGAATAACGAAACAGTATTCTTAAGTAAACAGACTTACATCAGGATCCACTTCCTTGGCCAATATATTGAGCTCCTCCGGTGTAAGCTCCGCCAGTAGTTGATCCACGTCAATGTCATCATACTCGCTCAGATCCTTGCCGTACAACTTGGCCGCTGTCGTCATAGTGGTTGTCTTGGTCGACGAAGAAGTCTGTAAATCATCCCATGGTGACTGATCAACAACCGAGTGTCTCCTCGACATTTCGCAAGGTTCTAGCCTACTCCGGGTAAACGCACTATCCGCGCAGAAATAAAAGTATTATCTCAACTAATCTCTCCCTCAAGTCTTGTACAAGAATCGTTCAGTGATAAGCGGTCAAGACAATACAATCGCATGATAATAAAACGTTTCTGCGGTCTCGCCAACGCGAGTAGAGAGAAGGTAGGGCCGTTATCGACGTTTCGTGCTAATTATCACGGCGCCCGTCGGTCGGAATCAATTATTCAAAGGGCGCGTTGTCGGCGAGGGCACAAAAGGCCGTCGACACGGGCCGCGCCCGCTCCGCGAAGGTCGTCGGCACAGCCGCGACCGACTTCTCTTATCACGGAGGCGTTATCAGCCGGAGCGGAGCCGGCCGTTCGATCGCGATCGACTGATCCGATCGCCTCGACGTGCGCCGCGTTTAAATTCGTCGAGCGTTTGACGCGGCTGATGCCCTCCGACCCAGATAATTCGGGATCGATTTTCATTGACAAGTCGCGTGCCAAAATCAACGACGGCGGCGGCGGTGATGTCAATCTCGACCGATCTCGACTGAAGCGACCCGGCCGACGGGCTCCGTTTCGGGACTTACTCGATGACGCGTCGCGGTGTCACCGCGGATGGGCGTTCCGCGTGCCGTCAACCGTCGTGCGGATGCAGGAATTCCAGAGACCGCTCCGGAGGAGCCGCACGAGCCTCACGTGCACAGGATCACACTCCGAAATCTGACAATATACGAGTACTCGCGAACGTCTCGCTACTCTCACTGATGACACCGACCAGCCCACCAGCGGCAGCGCCCTTTAATGCCGACAACGCGATTGCGCGACGGCCGATCCAGCGTCTGATAAAACTCCTCCAGATTCCAGAATTCTCGAACGGGACGCGTGCCGATTTTTATTCGCGTTCAGACGGATGTAAACAAGGGGTTACAGTCTCTGTTCTCTGCATGAAGTTACGAAGGTGGACGCGATTTTAACTGTGCGTCAACTGGCGACAACTTGGACAATCGCACTATTGCACGCGACGCTGGAGATGTTACGTTGAATGGAGTATATCGAGTATACGTTGAAGCGAAGCGGGAGATTTGAAGTGACAGCGAGTCGTAATAATCGTATTGCACGAATACGGATGCGTTTCAGAAATAGTATTGAATGTTTAACGTTTGAACAGTGTTAAAATGTCAAATTATGATTTAAGTTATTTTTAATTATTTCTACAGATCACTGCTCCTCAGTATATCATTAATTTAACTAATGGAGTTAAACAATTTAACTTAAGAAAATATAAATTTGACTGAAATTTAATTTATTATTTATTAGTACATACATTAACGTGGATGATGTTTACTTTGAATTTAATCATAGGAATAGATTGATTTAAACTATGATATACGTAAAAATAACACACAAAATATTGTTTAACTCAAAAGTTTTATCATTGCTTTTTTGATATCTAATAATAAACGAGAGGCGAAAATATACGTATTATATATATATTAATTATTACTATATTATTTATTATTTATGTATAATAGTATTAATAATTATATATATGTATATATATATAAGAATCATGCAAAAATTCCACAAAATTATTGATTTTTATAGTTTTTAATGGATTTAAAATTCTAGAAGCTCTTCACATTGTGATCTTTGGAATTCTTAAAAAATTCTTAGAATTTTAAATAGTACAATATATACAATATACATATTTCCTTATTTATTATGTTTTGTACCAAATCTCATCGATTTTTAAAAATTCATTTTATTATTTTTATTGAATTTCGATTTTTTTTTAATTTTATTTAAAAAATTTTAAACTTAAAGTTTTAAGCATTAAAAATTTTAAGTTTAAAGTACTGCGATTCTATAATTATACTATTACAATATAAACTATATCAAAGATCAAAATTACACACATCTAAAATAATCTCAAAAATCTTAAAAATTATTTTAAAACGTAACTTAATAAGACGATAAATATAAGATATTTTGAAGATGTATTGATATATTTTGATAACTCTATAGGACATTTCAAAAATTTTTTAATGGTTTTTAGACATCATGTTTTTTTGAATATATTAAGTGTAATTATATTTAATTATGAAAATACACAGAAAAAAAAGACTTTTGAAGTATCTAAAGTTTTGAAAATAATTTGTTGGATTATCCATATAATTATATAGGATGCTCAAATTGTTTATTAAATTATCAAAGTTTTTTGCAGCATTATTATCATAGCATTGTTTAAACATCCTATATATAATTATTTTGATGATACAGCAAAATTATTTTCTATATCCATATCTAATTAAATTTTTAAATACTTTAACAAAATCTTTCCATGCAGTTAATATTGAACTCGAGTTCTTGAGCTTCCTGTAAGTGCAAGTTTCGTTCCTTTTTTTCCTTGAATGAAACGCTGGTATCGATTGATAACTGGTTCTCGCAACGCAACGATGCATCTCTGAATCAACTTGAACATTTTCAACTATCAGATTCCAGCGCTATATTATCAATATTTATTCTATCTATATATATTCTCATTCATATACTCTATCAAATTTATAATGTCAAAAATATAATATTAAAACAAAGCCGGGCAAATGAGAGCTGTTACACGGTTCTTGTTTGTGTATATATTATTACTGTATCAATTATTGTTTATTATTAATAAATACATCAACGTTTCGTAACAGCTCTCATTTACCCGGCTTTGTTGTAATATTATTTTTTAATATTTAGAGTTCTATTAAATTAGATTTATATTTCATAATGTCAAATTATTTGAGTTATTTGTAATCATTTCTACAGTCGCAATTGCACCTACTCAATATGTTGTTAATTTAACTAAACAATGGAGTTAAACAGTTTGACTTAAGAAAATTTATTAAACTGGACTCAAAGTAGTGGACACTAGTTTATTTTTTATTAAATGCATATGTTAAATATATACATTGTTTGCTTTAAAACTAATCACAAATATGGATTGAATGATATTTCGCACATGATAAAAAAATTAAAACAAAATGTTATTTTTTTAACTCAAGAGATTGAGTTGCTGTATCGTCTACTATACTTTACGGCATCGTCCATTGCTTTTTTGCAATTCAATACGAATTCAAGAGCCGGTATAAAAATATCCGCGTATCAGCATGCATCCGGTAACGCGCAAAACCATGCAAGAGTCATCCGCATATTAATCGAGCCTCGGAGTCCTCGTTTCTCGGCTGACCGTGAAACCGGCACGTGAGTCCAACTTGCCAAAATTGGCAATTCCCCTTCTTCCATTCTCTCCGCTTTTCTCATCCGGTTCCTCCTGTTTCCCTCTTGGATCACGTAATCTGTGGGGGCTCGGCATTGACATAATCGATCTGGCAACGCGGAGCCGCTCAAGGTCACAACACGAGAAAGATCTCGAGCGAGAGAAGATCGTGGGATTTGATATCGGTTTGAGGAGGAGGTGGAGAAAGAGGAGAGGAACGCGAGAAGATCAAAGGGGACCCACGATTCGATCTTAGATCGAATCGATCAGGAGGGAGAGACCGGGGGATCATCTCCGGATCGGCAGTCGCGATCGGAGTGTCCGTCGCGCGTTGTAGAGCTGGTGGCAGCGACAGCCCGCAAAAATAGCTGAGGCCTCCTCGCTGAGGCTGGCACACTCCCAACAGGCTATACTTGGACATACCCGCGCACACGGATTATTTATAGTGAACGCGAGAGCGCGGCCACTGGCCTTCTTACGAACTAACCAGCCGCGGCTACCAGCCGAGGAGACATTCCGCCGCCCGTGACCTAGGCCCGCATTAATAATGGGCTCCACCCTTGCCTTGCGACCACGAGGAACTTAGCACTTTGCACTCGCTGGCGGGCGTAGCCCTGGCATCAACACCTTCATGTTCCTTTTATCTCCCTCTCTCTCTTCGCCTCTTGTTGCAATTTCGGACCCTTCCTCCGACAGATCCTGTCATCTTAGACTGTCGACTCGCTCTAAGTCTTTCGACACCTAGTTCGCTAGCTGCAGAGGTCCTTAGACTCTGGCAAATTCGTAATCCATTCATTCCAGACCTTTTCTTGGAGAGATCATGGGGATCTACCACTTTCAAAGAGCTTGGACACGATAATCAGGCGATAAACATATTAGGATTTAACTTTTAGATAAGTAGGTGGTTTAAAGGTAAACGTCAAAAAGTTGATAAGTGAGGTGCTCAAAACAACCCAAAAAATTCGAAAAATTTACATTAGTTATATTCTTATGAGATAGATAAATGTAAAAATAACAGTTTCTGAGCTCTCTGGATAATATCTTTTATTTTTATTTTTCACAAAATAAGATTTTAAAGAAAACTATACCTAGGATGCCCTGATCACCCACCTATTTAAAGATTAAAATTTTGTCTGTTAATTTCCATTTAACTGATGTAGATCCTGGACTGAAACGGCGAAGCCTATTTTTAAATCGGTGCAGCACGAAATTGTTCACAAGCACGGAAACAAGCTGATTATAAACAACAGCAAGTCTGAGAGGTCTCCGGAGAGGGTGTGCAATTTGAATGAGCTGCTAAAAATACCCTATCTTTTTCGGGAGGACATGCGTCTTTATTTTCTTCTCGCTCGATCAGCCGACTAGACGACTATCGTGAAAAAAAGTCGAGGATATGAAAGTCACCCAGTGATAGATCACATCTGTCCGAGATATTTTTACCCAGATTTCTAGACTCATTTTCAATGTTAAGGTGATATTCCATGCGCAAGGCGCACTGAGTTGAAGACAGCAAAAGCTAAAAGAATTATTTCCCAGCTGCTTGTAATGATCTTGTTTGATTTCTATTACATTTCTCTGATTTGTTGTTTATCTAATTTGAAGACTTTCCAGCGGAACTCAGAAGCCCGTTACGAGGAAGTAGGACGAAAATGCTGCCGTGATGGCACGGCGTGATGGAAAAC